CAATTTCAGGAAAATGGAGCTGGTAGAAATTTCATAACTGCCTCGCGTTTGAATTCACAGCTCATTACGCATTCAAGAATGCAGAGATCATCTGAAATCTACAACTAGCAACGGATTCAACTTTTGAATAACAAATTCATTAATGGGTTCTTGGGGGGTACGCTTGACCTGGTTTGACTGTAAGTGCGCTTACATGCACTAATAATAAACTTATTACCAGTTTGGTCTTGGATGGTCCGAAAAATTCACTGTCTTTGTCACATTCCACCAACAGAAGTTCATGAACTTCAGTCTATTTTTATTTTTCTGATGGAATTATAGGGATTATAGGGCATTTACAAACCAAATAGGGAAACACAGGGAAAGTTTCAAAATATAGAAAATATAGGGACACTTGAAGCCCTGTGATTCTCATCTGCGTCACAGCCGTTCTTTGTGTCATCACGCAACATTGCGTGACGACTCAAAGAACGGCCGTTCTGATACCGCCGGTATGCCTGCGAAGTTGACTCGAGTTCATCTTCGTAGACACGGCGGCGATAAAGATTGGGACCTTCTCTGTTGCCAGCGATTTCAGTTCTCAGTATCGGCGGCTATGTTGAAGTACCAAGTAGGACGGTCGCTTATAATGAGAAACGAAAATAGAGCCTCATCTCAGGTTAATGAGAACCAGGCTTTATCTGCTGCTCCTCACTTTTAAAAATGCAAGAGTTCGGAGTCATTTCTGGAAACATTCAACTCTCACCACGAAAAAAACACATATTGGTTAATACTTACCGTAGTTTCGTTCAGTTCCTCGAAGTCTCTCCACTATGCGAATGATCGGTTGAAAATGACTTAAAGCGAGGGAGGTTGGACCAACAGTCACAAACAAAATGGCGGCTTTGTCCAATCCTTCTTCCCAGGCCCTTTCATGCTTATGACGTCATTCCAATTTCACATCATCTTCAGTCTTTCTTTTGCTTAAAAATCAGTGTGGGAGTGCGATAAGCTGGTGAATCGGAAGATGTTTAATAATCCATCAAGTATTGAAGAGGGAAATTCCCTGGGTGCCAGTGTATGTCAGAGTAGTATTATTGTTATTTACACCATGCCAAAAATACAACCAAACAAGCAGGGAACTCGGGAGCCAGGCTATTGTTCTAATTATATATGGTTTAATTCCTTATTCAACTCGAAATCCTAAATTAAAAATACATTGCTGGTACAGCCAATCAATAAAAAATAGAGAAGAAATCCGTTCTTAAAAAAATGTGTTTAATTTAACAGGGTGGCATAGGAGTTTTTCGTGACGCGAGATGGGACCCATATTATCCGGCGTGATGCGTGTTATAATCGGGGCCAAATTAGCCGCGTGAAGCGTGATTGGGGATAGCAGCGTGATGTGTGATTTTCAGGAACCCATAACTGGATTTTCTATTTTCACAACGCGTGACTCCGTCGTGTTTTTCCTTTGAAATTTCCGTGATCGTTAATATCATTTGAAACTAACACCAGAGACATAACTTATAGATAGTTATGACACCAAATTCTTGCCCTCATGTTTTTTCTCGTCAATCCTTGACCTCTGATTTCCGCAGATCAAATTATATAATAATAGGATACTTGTTAATGTAGTTGTATATTTTATTTTATTTTTCGGATGCGTGATTGCTTGAAAAAAATCGCTGTGATGCCTGATAGGTACCCCCTCCCACCCCCTCTTTGCCACCCTGATTTAAGTGCCCGTAGAATTATGCAAAGAGGGTATATTGGATAAGATCGATCTCGAAGCGTTTAAGGACTCTCTATTGGGTCAAGACTTGTCTCGGAATGTTAAAACGTTCTGAATCATGCCATTATTTGAACTTTAACTATGAGGAGGAGTGAGACTGTGAATAAGATAGCCTTAAACGTTAGCAATAACTCATAAAAAAGTGCGATACATTGCGGGTAACTAAGAAAAGGCTCCTGGTAGTAGTGCTATGGCATAACAAAATGTAGCGTAGCACGACAGAAGAAGTTTTTTCCAACACATGATGTCGGAACACATGTTGTCGACGATGACCAAGAACATCACGTGGGAGAGGGATTAGGTGCGGTGTTTCCGGCTGTGGCTGATCAATCCAATACTGGCGCATTCCAGGACCCTGGTGAGTTTCTTGAGCAGGTGTCAAGGAGATCTCTTTGGATTTGCGCAGCTCACGCTTCCTCAAAGCCCCTGCTATCCTCTTTTGCTCGAAAAAGACAATGCCTTTGTTGACTTTGCTATGCCAGGCAGGTCAGCTCTAGAGCCAGGGTCACCCAGGTTTCATCATCTATGTCAAAGCTTTTCAGCGACGCTTTGAGACAGTCCTTGTGGCGCTTTTTCTGTCCACCCTGTGAGCATTTCCCCTACGAGGTTACGGTCAGCATTTAAACGCAACAATTTTTAGTATAAGGTTGAATTAATTTAGCAAGATAACCCTAGTCGTTCGTTTAACGTGATCACATAAACTCTGAAGAACTAACTGCAACTGCACCTGACTAGTCAGTTTAGTCTGCGCCGGGGGAGAACAGGCGGGTGGGACACGGGAGAATAAGAGAGGGGAGGTGGGAGAGGAAAGGGAGGGAGATGGACGTTCATAAAAAAGCTGGAAAGCGGGAAAATAGGGGCAAATCAATCAAATCATGCGCAACACTAATTGATATTTTGCAACGGAAAACGGGCCAAAGGGAAGAAACCAAGAAAAAGGGGCGGGAACTATGAATGCATGCAAGGTCCGGAAGGCGAGAGATTTAATCCTCCCCCCCCTTCTTCTCCCTAGTCTACACACACACTTGACTGTGTCTTTTAGTTTTTTGCACACAACAAGAGCAATTCAGTGGTCAACAACTTTAACGAACCAAAATAAATGAAATGTGTTAGACTTTTTTTACATCGGTCCGGGCAAGTTTTCAGTAACTCATGCGTATTAAGGCTTGACTCAACCACGAATTCCGTGGGTTTTGATTTCAAGCAAAAATATCCCTCTCATTTTTGTGAAATTTGGCAAGCAGGTTCCTTTCCACGTTAACATCCATTTGATAAGCTTTTCTATTGTAACTCTAAGTCACGTGATTCACATTTGCCTTGTAACGGTCAAAATGTTTCACTGAAAATGGGGAACACTTAGTCAAACTGTATTCGCCTTATTTTGTCGTTTTTCTATGGATCCTAGTAAGGGCTTTAGAATACTGCCTTTTAATCATGTCCATGTGTTATCGGAAACCGTCAATTAAGTAAAAAAGGTCACGTGACTTATCAAATATACTAATAACTGAAAAGGCATACAATGAATTCCGCGTTAAAAGGCGGAATCATGTTGAGAACGGACTTAAGGCCATTTTAACATCAAAAATTTTTGAATTTTTAATGTGCAAATGTACCCCCATTTGAAGAAACACGTTTTGTCACGTCTTCAGGAGCAGGAAATCACGTGACTGTATATGACACTTTCATTTGGTCAAACACGTCAAATGTTGATTCTTCTCAGTTTCACGACTGAAATAGACTTATTCTTACGAGCTGCACAGTGTCACATATTACAGTACTTTTTACGCGAGTCCGGATCAATTCAGGTCTTTGGGAAACCGGCCATCTACCCCTCCCCTAAGCTAGCATTAACACTTACTTCTCACTGGGGGTAAAATATTGGCTTAGGGGAGGGGTAGGTGGGCAGTTCCTTAGAAACCTAAACTGACACCGAGTCCGTACAAATATTTGCCAGTGTCAGCCCTGGAATGGCTTTTTTTATCAAGTAAGTAGGCTCGAAGTTTTCACCGTGCAAACTGTGAAAAAACTTTACACGGTTCAGGTGTTTACATGGCGTGAGCCAACGTAAAAGTGAAGCCGTACCGGTCAAAAAATTTGACCGTCTTGGGTCAGCTCAAAACTTGCACACTTTGCCGTTCAATAACTTGCACGGTCCCACGAGTTACATATACATGTAAACGAAAGGCTGATCTGTTCAAAAATTTCTCCGGACAAACATCAACGGGTTCTCGTACTAGCCTGGTTAACCAGTTGTGTTAAACTTTATTTAAGGAAGCCTAAAATACGTTTCATGTTATTACCAGTAAATTAACGACAGCTTACTGTAAACTGCCGCTTATAAGCCTTTAAGCCTTGTAAGGAGTTTTAGGGGTGGTTATAAGCAGAGGGCTTATATCCAAAGGGTTTAAAACAAACAAAAAAAAGGCTTCAAAAAAAGGCAATAGCGGTGCCTTTTGCATTTTCTGTTTTAATCAAGCTTTAGGCGTCATTCTAAATCGAATTCATTGCAACTTACAATTAAAGGGAAGCTTACATGTTTAGAGGTAAGTCGGCCTACGAATGGGAGGAGGGGGGGGGTGGTGTGGTGGTTGGCACTTTGCGATATTCCTATAAAACAAATTGAACAAAGCAACATAACAGTGTTGAACGGCTTTGAATTTCAGTCTAAATCTTACAAACTTCCATAATTACGCATCCCAACTCAACAGAGAAACAAAGTTACCATGTATAGTGGAGTGAGTATTGTTAACTTTGTTGTGATCATTACACCCACCAACGTGATTAAGCCTTAACTAAATATAACCATTATAAACAAACCTGTGTGTTGACTGAATCACACTGAGACTAAACTAAAACCAAACTACAAACACTGAGAATTGTTCAATTACAAACTGTGTGCGAGACTGCAAGGACGAACTGAAACCGAAATATACCTCGTAAACCCGCAGCGTTAGTACCACCGTCTTAAAGGTCATTTTTCAAAGCCCTCCACGCCATCATAAATCGCTGTTGTATAGTATTTCTGGTCTGTATGTATGGACGCCTTTTGTAACTCCATTTATCCTTGCATGTGTTTATACATGTGATAAAGATATCCACAATGATCGTAGCAGTATTCATCACACATCCAGCAAGTGAATCTTTCTTTGTCTCTAGAAGATCGTTTCTCGCAATCATGTCTCTTCAGAGCATTGTCATCAGTGAAATCTTTACCACATGATTCACATTTGTGAGGTGAATCAGAATGGAATTTTCTTTTGTGATAAAACAATGTCTGTTTCCTGGTGAAACATTTGTCACACTGAGTACACTGGAAGGGTCTTTCTCCACTGTGTATCCGCAAATGGACTTGTAAGTGAGATGAGTTGCGGAAACACTTTTTACACCGAGTGCATTTAAAGGGCGTTTCATTAGTATGTATTAACAAGTGTCCTTTCAAACTTGATGAATGTGTGAAACACTTTTCACATTGAGTACATTTGAAGGGTCTTTCGCCACTGTGTATCCGCAAATGGTCTTGCAGGGTACTTGATCGTCGGAAACATTTTTTGCACCGAGTGCATTTGAAGGGCCTTTCATTGGTATGTATTAACAAGTGTCTTTTCAAACTTGATGAACGTGTGAAACACTTTTCACATTGAGTACATTTGAAGGGCCTTTCATTGGTATGTATTAACAAGTGTCCTTTCAAGCTTGATGAATATCTGAAACACTTTTCACACTGAGTACATTTGAAGGGCCTTTCATTGGTATGTATTAACAAGTGTCTTTTCAAGTCTGATGACTATCTGAAACACTTTTCACACTGAGTACATTTGAAGGGCCTTTCATTGGTATGTATTAACAAGTGTCTTTTCAAGTCTGATGAATATCTGAAACACTTTTCACACTGAGTACATTTGAAGGGCCTTTCATTGGTATGTATTAACAAGTGTGCTTTCAAGTTTGATGATTGTCTGAAACACTTTTCACACTGAGTACATTTGAAGGGCGTTTCATTGGTATGTATTAACAAGTGTGCTTTCAAGTTTGATGATTTTCTGAAACACTTTTCACACCGAGTACACTTGAAGGGTCTTTCATTAGTATGTATTAACAAGTGGCTTTTCAAGCCCGATCGCCGTGTGAAACATTTGTCGCACTGAGTACATTTGTAGGGCCACTCATTGCTGTGTACCTTCCGATGATAGTATAAGCCTGCTGCTCGTTTAAAGCACTTATCGCATTGAGTACACTTGAAGGACCTCTTGTCGCTGTGAATCCTCAGATGAGCTTTTAGAGCTGACTTGACATTAAAACACTTTTTGCAGGTGCTACACTTGAATGACTTCTCTCCAGTCTTCTTGTCGGCGGCCATGTCTGGCATTTTAAAAGCAAGATGAACAGTTGATTTAAATTCACTAATTAAAGGCAACATTTATTGATGTGTTGGTCAGTAACGTTCGGCTGACAGCGTTGCCGGAGTAACAATGACGAATATGAGTCAGCTTAAGTTGATGTAGTCTGCTACACAGCCGTTTTTAGTGTCGTCACGCAACGCTCCTCCCCACTTGCGTGACGACCCTAAAAACGGCTGTGAAGCAGACTACATCAACTTAGGCTGTTGTTGTAAGTTGATGAAAATGACGAAAGAAAATCTCCCCATAAAGCTCAAAACTCATTAATTATTCATAAAGAAAAAAAACAAATAAAATTTATGACTTATGAGTGTCTTTATATCTGATAAAGACACGGCTAAATCTTTAATTACATCCAATTTTTTAACCCAAATAACTCCAAATCGAAATATTAATGCAAGAATGAGTTGATCTTTATCAGAGATTTTGAAGCCCTTCAAAACAAGTAGCAGTCGTTGATTATCAGGTGTAAAAACTCGAGGGTTTGCCACAAGTTTTTAAACCTGATAACACACTCCTGCTCGTTTTTTAAACAGTACTTAAAGTCCCTCGCCATAAGTATAATTTTTTACATTGAATATTCTGTATTGTTATTTTATATCCTATCCAAGGCCCGGCCAACCTTTGCTGTGTGTGTGTGTGTAAGTTAAGAAAAAGGGGCAGGTTGGGGGAAGGGGGCGGTGCGTTGTCGTTATGAAAATCTGCAAAAACAAATGACAAAGACGATGACGTTCAAAAGTCTGCCTACTAATTCTCACATGAGAAGGCCCCGTTTATATGGAGAAAAGTTGTCCTGGGTAGAAGGATCAACTACCTACCACAGCTACACTGGGTGTGCCAATTTTTCATACCATTTTCTTACAAAACGTGGCGAACCGTTTACATACGTAAAAAGTCTGCTCTAGGAGGGGGACCCACCTAGCCGAGACACCGTCTGGTGTTGTTACGGTCACCTTCCTAGACGGTTCAACGTTTCTCCATATAAACACTTTACCTCGCCCGTCCGGGTTCACTAGGTCAAGGTGATACAATCTGCGCATGAGCGAGCGTAGTTGCACGGTCAAACATTGGCCAATGGGTCCTTTTGTTCTCATATAAAAGCGCGGACGCGTTTTCTCCACATTATAGGGGCCTCAGAGAAAATACGTTTGTTGATTAAGCGCGCTCCTTTACTGTCCTAAAAATCTAAGACACGTCATTACCGACGCGATCCTTGAGAGAGTAGGTTTCTCTTCACAGAAATTGCGTATAACAAGGGATTCAATTAAACGCTGACCCCAGGCCTGCGGGGCCTTCACTAAAATTCACAGCGGACCTGCCCGTAGGTACGATCAGTCGAATTTGTAACCGCTATGTATCAACTAAGACCTTGTAAAACCAGGATTCCTTGAGCTGAATTACGGATTCCGAATTACGAAGTTCTTAAAATAGAAAATGAGCAGATAAAAACATCTCAAAACAATTCTTATGGATAAAAAATTACGTGAAACAACTAATCTAGGTTCAGAAATAGTAAGCGTGACAAGTGAAGAGAAAACTTGGTCACGTTTGTTCACGTTTGTCTATACGGATAGATAAAGCTTTATATCATGCGTGTTTATTTCTTCATACCGGTCAACAGCGCGATCAGCGATCAGCGATCAGCTATCAGCGATGATATCTGCAATGGTTTCAAAACAAGGGACATTACCATTTAAGTAGCTTACGCCGGTGCGTGGCGGTATCGAACTAATTGTAAAAGACCCGCAGACTATTTGCATTGTGGGTTGCCCCCTGTCGACCTTTTGGTGCAGCGATTGTCGTGGAGTGCTCTCTGGAAACATTACCGGCAAATCTCAAAACAGAAGGTACACAGGAAATTGGTTGATACTTACCGTAGTTTCTTACAGTTTCTCTTCGAGGGTTTGCCCTGCAGAAGGTAGATTGAATGTGCAGTTAGATTTAGTGGTCTGAGTGGTATCCAAAATGGCTGGCATAAAATCCTTGTTTCCAGGCTCTTTAATGCCATATGCTTGTGACGTCATTACAACAAATGTCACGTCATCCAAAATCCTTGTGCTCAGTAGTCCATTTCTTAAACAATGAAAGGCCATCGCCATTTTTTCCTTCGCTTACCGTCGAATGCGTTTCCTGATATTGGGTCGGTCGGTCGGATTGAAAAAAAAAACTAAAAACAAAACAAAACAAAACAAAACAAAACAAAACAACACAAGAAGTCTCGGAATAGTAGGCCCTGGTACCCCAGGACGAAAGAAAATGTACAATATACTGTGAAGAATGTTCATGTTTTTGTTCCTGTTTTTCTCTATGCTATTACTATGCTCATTTTTCAGATTAAAAGAATTATTTCAAGTGAAAAATGGTGTAACTACGTCGTTACTTTTTTTTTTTTTAATGCCAAAAATTTGGGTCGGTCAGACGACGGTAAACGGAGAAAAAGGAGGAGATGGCCAGATACGATTTTAAAAGAATTGAATTAACAATTATTCCTCGAGCCCGAATGGGTTCTGAGTCAATAGCGGGCTTTTGACTCAGAGGCCATGAGGGCGAGAGGAAAAATTGTTTTAGTAAATCCAGCTAGTTGGTCAAAAATATCGAGACAAAACAACTTTAGTTAGCGAAACGCGATTCAGGCGCCATTGTTTTGGGTTTTCAAAGCCGGCGCTTTTCGCTACTAGTGGGCTATAAATAACATATAGCCAAGTAGTAGCTCAACCAAGCAGAACGTAGCATTGATTATAGACTACTAGTTGGATTTTACTAATAGACAATATTCGTATTCCCCGGCGGTCCTGGGACAAGTAGGCCCTTGAGCATGAACGCGAGGCTAAAGCCCGGTCTGAGTAGGGCTAACTAGTTTTTCTATTAGAATTATTATTGGTTGTCTTGGAAGAGTTCACTTGTGTTGGTACTACCCACGAATTCCATTTGTCATCACCAAAATGATCTTGGATATACTAAAACGTACACAGTTAACGTTCGACAGTCTGCCACCACCGCAGTCTCTACTTACGAATATTTTAACGTAGAATTTCGTTAAGGATTACGAATTAAGGAGCGCGCGGAAATTAGCTTAATTGGTGTGAGTAAATCTATATGAAAAATGTTCCTTTCCCTAAGAAAACTGTAAACCTCACGTCTCGAAATTTACTGCATTGGAACATAATTTGCTTTAAAAACAGCTGCATGGAAGTAGGGCCTATATTTACTTGATTTTTGGGCCCTTACAATTTTACAAATACATATCTAGCTGGATTTTAGAAAACGCTTCTACTCAAATGTACGTCCTTGTTGGTGAAACAGATTTTTAAATCGTTCAAAACCAAAAAGTTGCTTTTTCTCTTCCCCAGTTTCTCCCCGCTATCTCTATTCAGTTTATTTTTGTTCCGTAGTACATTTTTCGGGCTTACCGTACACAAGAAACTTGTGTTTTGGCCTTTTTCAGTCACATGGCTTTATTCTTTGGCTTTCAATTACATCTTAATATACTGACAAAAAGACAGCTAGTAGCTGAACAGGCATGAAGTCTGACTCGTCCCCAGTCGTCTCTCTTGAGAAAGGAGAGAAGCGCGAGGGGTGATTTGAAGGAGGAAAGGGGAGAGACGACTGGCAGATCCCTTCCCCTTTCCTCCTTCCCATCATCACCCCTCGCACTTCTCTCCTTTCTCAAGAGAGACGACTGGGGAAAAGTCAGGCATGAAGTTACATGAGACCACGCCTCAGTTCTTCGACTCATCATACTGAGAGTGAATTTCCACTGTCAAGTAATTTAACATCCTTAAGTGGGTACCATTTACTTGTGTAAATAAGAACAGTCAATGTATGAACGTTTAATGGAACCAAAATCAATTTTGGAATTACATGCATTTTAGGCCGGATACTTAACTACTGAATGAAAAGTTACGACAGATGCATATTTGCATGGTCAACAGTCTGTCCCCTTTCAATTATGTGTCGAGAATATTATTTTGACACCGACTATGCTGCTATCATTAGTAACAGCATTCGCTGCTACTTCGGAGCGCAAAGTAAAAATAGTGGAGCCGGGGAAAGCTGGGGTACTTCCAATATTGTCCAAAACGGGGAGGCTTTTGGCCTGTCCCGATTGTGCTTGGCAATGTTCGAGCTACTTTTGGCATTAGAAGGAATTTTTAGTAACTTCGAGCAAGAGTTTTGTCTTCCTAAGCAATTTTTGACCAAAATATAGGTTTAGAACTCAAATCAAGCATGAAAAACTCAATAGTTTTATAGGAAATTTTAATTTACGCTGATTTCTTGAATGTTTAAAAACCTTTTGAACACAAAACCTTTCACTGGCCAACGTTTCGCAGGGCAAACGCAGTCAGCACATAAACAAACACAAGAAAACGAAAAAGGAATGCTTAAAGGCGAAATTCAGTGTACATTTTGCTAATTTATAGTGCAAAGAATATTCCTCCTGTTACTTCTTGAAAGCTTTTTGCCGTATGAATAATTAATTAGCTTAGTAGGCTGGCTCTTAGCATCCTAAAAGTGCTGAAACGCAGTAAGCACACAAATATACGCCATAAAATGCTGAAGAGACCTTAAAAGGAAAAATTTAAATGCACATTTCGCCCAATTATTGTAAAAAAGAATAATTGTTGCCGTATTAATAATTAATTAGCTAAGTTGACTAATGTTGTTCACGGCTCTCACAGTGAGCTTGGGTGTCTTTTAAATTTCGCCCATAGTGCGAAGCTAAGTTTCAAGCTATTTTTCTCGACCAATGGTTTGATTGTGAAGAACGAAAAACAAAGCTTTTAATAAACTTTCAGATAAAATATCAAGAGATTTAGAAAGCACCTTTTGAAATTTGGATTCCTGGCAATTTTTTTAGACATTTTTTGCGTTCCAGCAACTAAAAGCAACTTTCCAGTATTTTACGAGCGCGGGCGGAGCGAAGTAAAAAGTGAGGGGGCTGAAAACAAAATCGGGCATTCCATTTTTCTACCCCCCTCCCGCCCCCGCCAATAAGCAATAGCAATAAAAGGCGGTCTCTAGCTCTGTCTGTTTTTAAGACGCCGACAACATTTCAGTTGGATCCCTCGGATGCAATCTTAAATGGTGCCGACAACAAAAACTTCCAAGGATAACTTTCCATAGGGGGGTGGGGAGGGTGGGTGGAGGTTGTGCGGATGTCAGTGCGGATAGAAAAATGAAAAGTCCCAATCCATCCGGCTACGTACGTTGTTTCTTGTTTTAAACAGACGAGTCGACGTTTACAATAGTGTTGAGTTGACCATGGTAAATTAAAAAGAAAAAAGAAAAAGGAGCCCAATCCACACCTTACATGAGCTCCCAAAATGTATATGTCAGACTTTCTTAATAAAAGATTATTTTACCATCGCCCACTGTTGCAGCGGTTATTAAAATTTGATGATTACGACCGTACCTGTCGTCATTTTACCCAGCATTTATGTTATGTACATAACTTATAAGGCTGCATAAATTAAAAAAAAACGCTGTCATATCATTATAGCTACAGTCTATCCTCTCCTTAAGGACACCTCTGTATTACGGACAGTTCGTTTGGTCCCGGAAATGCCAAAAATCATACATTCCCTACCTCTATAATACGGACACCCCTGTAAAGCGGACACCTGGTTCTGTCCCTTTTGTGTCCGTATTAAAGAGGTTTGACTGTATTCTAGTCAAGTCAATTTTTATTTAACTCACACAGAATATTAACGGTACTTTTTACAATTCAGTGCTTTATTGTGAAAAGGGACAAGAAAAAGGACAAGAAATTATTTCAGTTTTGGTTCCACTGTGCAGAGTTTGGGACACCTAAATGGTTCGTAGGAGTGGGTGACTCAAACAAGAATACGAGTAGAAGGAATATAAAGTGACAAAATAGTTGTTTTAGATAAGAAGTATTACTCCATTAATTAAATATAGTAGTAGTTAAAGATAACATGATCATAAGACTTTAGGAATTAATAAGTAAACACTATTATAACCATCAATCAGAGAATTTTTGACATTTTGACGAAATCTAGAAATGGTTTGATTTTCTTATAGCATCAACAGATAAAGAATTCCAATTCAAAATTTTCTCTAGCTTCATTTAGATTCATAATATTTTGGTTTGTTATATTTCATATTGTGTTGTGAGAAACAATAAAATGACGAGTTGAACAATGCCAGTCAAACGCCTAATGCTAATGATTTTTCTCTACATGACAGGTGGTCTAATTGCTACTGATAATTTAACTCCTTTTCGGTGTCAACTTTTTTTTGTTTAAACAACTCACTCACGAATGGCACATCGAACTCATTTAAGATCAGTACTTTTTCTAGGCTCGATTCAAAGCCGCCGTTCGGGAAATGAACCAACACAAGGGGGTGGGGGAAGGCTTTTTAAGTCTCGGGGCGAAGCCAAACCCTAAAATCAAAATCTGAAGAATGAAAGCACGGGTCCTACAATCATCGTCAAACGTTTTGGAAGGCTGCTACTCTTTACCTCTTTCCTCCATCATTCCCCCTCCCCTAAGCCCTATGTTAAACAAATCGCAAGTCTTGTGCGCGTCTGAATCCGTTTGAATCGTTCTGTTATATCTTATTGAATAGGGGAGACGGGGGTATTTAGCAAAAGCCGTCTTCGATTCTTTGAACATAAAAATGAACTGCAGTTAAATTGTACAACCTTCCGAACAACCGGTTTGTCTGGGTTTGTAGTTTTAAAAAAGTCGATTTTGTTTGTTAATGGATAGGCTTATCAGTATATTTTCTGCAAAGAAATTTGAAATCATCATTTAAGCCTTGATCTTCATTGCGAACAAAACAGCTAGCTTTCGGTGACCGGTAATTGCCGGAACTTCCCAAGGAAAGGGTCCTGGAGCCGATCCTGGACGGAGCGACCGAAACGAGCCTAAATCAAATGTTCTTATTCCTTTTACAGGTAATATGCACCGTTTTCTAATAGACTTCAACGATTGGAACTTCTACTGGAGTTTGTGCTTTGGGCTGTTGTCCTTCCTAATCATCGTTGGAAATGCTCTATCCATATCAATACTTTTCAAGAGAAGGCTACGAAAGCGTCCTCATTTCTTGTTAATTAGTTTGGCTTTTGCTGATCTTTTGGTTGGATTAATTCCAGTGCCACTTTTGATCATGATGGCAGACTCATCAATAATTGCTCGTTTTGTCTATAGGAGCATGGATTTGTTTGCGGGCTTGAGCTCGATCTTCACCCTGGCGGCTATTTCCCTTGAAAGACTCCACGCCATTGTTCGCCCTCTTCGCCATCGACAACTCACCTTACGCAGCTGCGCGATTGCCATAGCAACGCCATGGATCTTATCCTCTATTGTGACGTCAGTTCCCGTATTTCCCTTTATAACCTATATTCAGACCAGTTCTGTGATAATTATTAGCTTGTCAACACCTTTGTTGATAACGTGCGTTTCCTGTTGCATTATTTGGAGGAAGCAAGCTTCTAGAATTCGCAGTGGAGCTCGAGAAAGAAAGGATGTTCACTTAAATAAGACGCTGCTATTGATAACTGCGGTATTTGTTTTCTCATGACTGCCTTTCCAAGTTTTACCAATTCTAATGAGTTTCTGCATTTCATGTCAAATCTTACACATGATATTGTATGTTGGAAAGTTTCTTCAATATAGCAATTCCTTTATGAGTTTTCTAGTATATTGTTTTAGAATGCCAGATTTCAGAAAAGCGCTTTCACGAATGCTTCCCCAAATGCAATGCAGATGCAGTCGCTAATTACAGAGTCGTCGAGTGTCTTATCCGCTCAGTGGTCGACACTAAAGTAAGTGTCTTTCTTACCTATCTTAATTACTCTCCGTACAGGAAATATGTATTTATGTGAAATTTTAAAAAGCATGCAAGCCGTAAGTTCCTAGCAAACAAATCGTGAAGCTTTGTGAAGTGATCAGAGTTTATCGGAAAATGTGTTAAATCGTCCTGTCTTTCATGGAAATAATCTTCAGCTTGCGGGAAAACCTGTATTTCTCTTGCTGACGTCACTTTCACAATTCAAAACAATATCGCGACGTCATGATCAATTACCCCAGAGGTCAATCCACAGGCATCCCAAAATCACTACGCGAGCGCTTCTTAAAAATCAATACAAGTGAAAATATTGCGATCAAAGCAATTTATAGTGTTCATATGTAAACAGTTTTAAAGCGAACAAAAAAGGCAGCGCATTTTCTTTTCTTTTTTTGAAAAAGGCGCATCTTTAAGCGGCCAGATGTATCACTTTTAACAAGTGCTCACGTAGTGGGTTTAGGATGCCTGTGGTCAATTGAATAAACTATTACAAGTGTTATACTTCTACTTGAGAAATTTCTGCAATTTGATTGGCTTAGAGCAGTGTTATTTCAGCTTAATTTGAAATACCTACATGTGAAAATTACAAACCCTTTGCGGGTAGTAGTATAAACAAATAATAGCATGATTTGTACGTGCTATTTGGCAAAAATACCAATCATGATATTTCAAAATTGTCTCAAATTTCACTCGCCTAATTACGTATAACAATTTCGAAATATCACTCGTGGTATTTATGCCAAATATCACGACAAATCATGCTATTACCTATACTAATTTACAAGTGTGGACACTATAAATTCGTAACTTTATCAAGATTTTATTGAATGTACATTTGAGCTTGAGAGAATGAACCTAGCCTTGATGTCAAATGTTAAAATAATCATCAAACAGTATCATATGTTATAGTATTGATTATTTTTGGGGGTGTCAGGTTTTTTAAATTTACGCAAATTAAGAAAGTTATTCTAGAAATTACTGATTTCATGAAGTAAATATCGTATTAAGCTGTTCTCCTCATGTCTCTTCTGTTGGGCTCCTGACAAAAACTTAACCTTTAATAGACGAAACCCCGGCATGTTGCCTGTAGCCCATGAATCAAAGAGGCCAGACTCCAACAGAAGTGACTGATGGGCTCCTGTTTTTGTTTAGTAAAGTTGAATTACATAGTACATTGAAGTAGTCTTATTTCGTTTCTGGTTGATTCTAGCTATACCCACATATTTCTCGTAAAAAGCCAAGAAACACGCTTGTTTTGATTCAGAAGTCGATGCGCATTCATTAAGTCTTTGTAACCGAGCGTTGTCGATCTCTTCGAATCCTAGGGAGCGTCACCATAATTGGTGACCGCGTTTCAACTGTATTCTATACCAACTCTTTGTGCTTAGTATATAATAGAGCTACAGTAGCGTATCTTGCTTTCGTTCGGCAAATCAATGAAACCAACAACGACATCAACAACAATGAGCTTTAATTTATTCGCAGGACTTTAACAAAGTGTGCTGATTCCCTGGTTTTGCACTGCGTATCTCTTACTGCGCATAACAAGATGGCCGCCGTGATAAAGAGCATCCAAAGTAACATTATTAAAATGAAGTTGACTTAAGGGAAAGGCAATTAGAATTTTAGGTTTCGGTCGATTCTTGCCGAAATGAGACTCAATGTGTTGGGAACGTGCATAACGTTAGCAGTACGCGTGTTACTGAGTTCGACTTTCTTAAGGAGAACCTCGATAGTGGACGTTAAACGTGCGCTATGCATCTCACTCTGATTTTCATTTAAGGGTCATCTTTATCATATTGCGTCCTAACAGTGATATCTCGATGTAAATTCTGAAAAAACGGATTATTTTATGCTTTCTTCCCCCTTCCACATACATGCCATTTTGAAAGTCGCCCCAGTCCTCTCTCAATTACCGGAGAAAATGTATATGGTGCGCACTTTCTGCAGCGCTGCCGCAAAAACGAATACCGTGACCCCCATTTTTTGAGTGAAAACACTCTATACTTCCTAAACGGAAAAACGTCTGCAGAGGTTAATAACTAATTTTCTTAGGGTTATTATTAGGTAACAGGTGTTGCCCACGACTTCCCGTAGGAGCCCATCATTGGGCTCCTGTTCTGTATATTATCACGACAACATCGATATATTAACACGCACGCAGTTTAAGCGTCAGTGACATTATTACCGTCCCCTGCACTCACCACTGGTGTACTTTCTTTTTCGTGGGATTTCACATGACGTCACGGTGGCCATATTGGTGTCCCAAAACAATGAAACGGCGGCCATGTTGGTGTCCCAAACCAGTCCTCTGGGAGTTGAACTCTTCTTATGCAAACGCTTTTTTTGTTACAGTAAATTTGCATATACGCTGGCCACGTGAGTGAAAACACTCTCCAAAGCGGAAAAACGTCCGCCCCTGGCAAAATAGTTCTCCCAAGACCTAAACCGGAAAAAGATTCGCAAAAAATTGCGTTACTTCCGATTGCTCACAAATTTGACACAAAGGAAGTTAATAGATTCAGCCAATCACCTGCCTAGTTCCAGCTCCTTTGGACTTTTGACCGTGACACACCGAGCTTTCGAAAATTTTGAATTTTATGGCGAGTCGCGGAGAATTTTTGTGAGCCGGTTTTGCGAAGAATACAAGCTTGTATCGACGAATGTCAACCAAATACAAGTCAAGCAAACTATTCTGAAGGATTTTGGAGGATAACAAGCAAAATAAACGCGAAAATTGAAGTAAGGAAACACTTAGAATCTGTGCATGCAAATCGCCGATCGCCGAACTCTTTGCCACATATTCTTGAAACGGCGACGATTTCCTTCCCGTTTTGCCTTCGCTTCGCTTTTCGCCGGCAAATTCTTGGTTATTTTGATGAATTCTATCAGCAAATTCATGTCTGCTTGTCTCTAACTCGATATTTCTTTGGGAATTTCTAGTCGCTCGATGTTTTAGAACGATTTTAGTTTGTTTTTGCTTAGATATTGATGAAAAAAATTGGTTACTACCATATCACCCAAAATAAAGAAGTTTCCTAGCTGAATGACATTCTTTAAAATTTTAAAAAAGTTTTATGCAAAATATGCTTTGTAAATTTTTTTGTGGCGGAATATTATGGGTTTCCAACGACCGAAATATTTTTTTGTCGAAAGGGTATTCTTTTCCCTTTCCAATGAGGTATAGCTTGATATTGAACTGTAAATAACACCAGAGATATGATTTTTTAAAGTTACATGGGCAAAATACATTAAAATAATTTGGGGAAGACAATGGGTATATTATTGAGCTATTTTGAAAAAAATAGCTCATATGTCAGTGGTGTGAGCGTATGTATCTTTGTGGCTTTGTATCTTTGTAACTTTGTATGTTCGGATGTTTGTTGCAAGAGCCAATAAAGTTGAAGGTACTATGAGTTGATGCTCAGGAACCAATGAGATCTTGGCATGTCATAATGTATATACTCAAAAAGAAAAATTGCTAGGAGAGACAGGCCGCACATCTTAGCCTCAAACCGGTGTGAAACCTTTGAAAACCTTCTACATATTGATATTGCTCCATTGAGGAGTACTCTTTGAGGGATTTTACACTCGAAAAATTGAACGATGATTTTATCGGTATCAGGGGCCCATGACTCTGTCAGTATAATTATACATAGCTTCTTTGTACCGGACCAAGATACGGCTCGGTACAGTATATGTTCAGCACAGGAAAAAAGTGTAAGTTTAACAGAACCTTATACAACACACAGTTAATTCAGTCGCGTGTGTCCATTTTATAAGATATCAATATTGCGTGAAAGTAATCACATTTTCCATAGCTGCTTAGTATCTACTTTTAATATATCTCCGTACAGTCTCAGAGTACAATGTTTAGAGTTGTACACAGCATGTATTTTAGATAGATAGCTAGATAGGCAGATAGACAGGCAGACAGACAGACAGACAGACAGACAGAGATAGATATAGATAGATAGATAGATAGATAGATAGATAGATAGATAGATAGATAGATAGATAGATAGATAGATAGATAGGTAGGTAGGTAGGTAGGTAGGTAGGTAGGTAGGTAGGTAGGTAGATAGATAGATAGATAGATAGATAGATAGATAGATAGATAGATAGATAGGTAGGTAGGTAGGTAGGTAGGTGCATACAACAATTGCAAGAAAAATAAGGAGTACTGAAAGCAAATGTACACTTAAAAATTAAAAAACTGTTAAAGTTTTTTCTTCTATTACAGTATCACCGGGATAAAGCGTTTCATTTTCCCAGAAAATTTCACTTTCTCGTCAAAACAATCACTGACTCTGACAGACTCGGATTAGTTTACTTGAATTTAGCGTTCAGTACAGCGAACGGGGTTATGTTCTGTGAAATTTATCTACAGTCTGCGGCCCACATCATCACTGATCCACGATTTATTATTTATTTATTCTCAAGTTCTTTTTAACCGATCCTTGATCCCTGATTTCTCGATCCTCGATCCTCGATCCTCGATCCTCATTTTCCAGTAAACCTTGAAGTTTTGCTCATTAAGATTGTTCTTTTTTTTTCGACTACTAAAGTGATCAGTTGTTCCGAAATAATCAACGCTTTCAAGCCATAGAATTCTTGGACCAACCCGTTCCGGAAAAGCTCGATATGGGATTTCTATTAACTATGGACATGAAGTGCTGGAAGTAGAGTGTGCGGTTAGTCAAGTTCAAAGCTACCAGTATAAACACACCCATGACACGTTAGGGTGGATTTCCACTGATACGTTTTTGGCTCCGCACGTTAACGCACGTAAATTTTAATCACGTAAATCAAATAGAGGTAAGACATAAAGTATTGAGATTAAACGTCAAATTAAGCGAGTTTCTACTTTTACGCTTACATAATTGTACGTGCAGCCTTTCATACATTGCCTTTATTTTATTTGCGAACGCAAATTTTACGCACGTGCGCACGTAAAAATTACGTGACAGTGGATACTTCATATCTCAAGTATTTATGAAGTGCAACACGACTTCACATCGTAACAACTGCGAAAATCTATCAATTAAATACATAAAACAAAGTGAATCTATTTAACCGTACATTTCCTGTAATTGCGACAATATTCTGAGAAACGTAACGCCTTAAAAAGCCACAAAATCCTGAGGATTTCCCCGCTATAATATTTTCTCATCCTGCTTGGGGATATGCCTGCATGTCGTGCATAATTACACGAAAATCAAGGGCCTCCATTCAAGGAAAATTACGTCATTGCCAAACTTACATGCGTCATTTCAGTCATCGCCGAAATAAACTGCATTCTCATCACGAGACTCATTTCCATACAATGAAAGTCGTCACGATTCTTATCTCCAGTTTCCACGGTCTTCGCTAGGAACGCGGGGCCTACAAACTAGGTCCCACCGACGGAAAAAAAAAACGACTGCATTTTAAGATTCTCGCTTTGCTAAAGCAAGCGAGACTAATGATAGTAACTTGAAGGTATGAAAACCTGTTTCCTTTATTAACGAATGCCTTAAAAAAGGCTCTTGTCTTTTAAGAAGCAATAGCTTTTAAAACATGAAGAAATAAGTTGTCGGAGTTACAGACTGTTTCACTTAGTAGAATCGCACGTGAAAACCTCGTGAATTGTTATGATGCAACCATCTACCACAATGATAAAAATCCTGGTATTTCTTAACTACTCGAATTCGATGAGTCACATTTTGGCTTAAAAAACTCCGAGGAAACCTTACAGTTTTCCTTCTAATCAAAGTTTTGTGAGTAGATATTTATTGACTTTAACCATTTGTTTAACTTGCACCAAATATAACTGGGAAAGACAGAGGAAAGTGAATATATAGCATGAGGATGGACGCAGCGGAGCGTTTCGCGTTTTCATTTATGTACGGCAATACCCAATTTCGCACAAAAACCCAGTCTACATTTAGGACGAAAAAGGTAGATTCATCACTCTTGGTAAGATTACACTGAAGCATTAAGGTTACACCGAGGCATTCAAAATAGCTCATGCACGTTTAACGTGCCTATGTTTAGGTAACAGGTGTTGCCCACGACTTCCCGTATCAGTTATCGCGACAACATCGATATATTAACACGCACGTGGTTTAAGCGTCGGTGACATTACTACCGTCCCCTGCACTCTCCACTGGCGTACTTTCTTTTTCGTGGGATTTCGCTAGTTCAGAATTACGAAGGAGCGGCACAGAAACTTGGTGAGAGAACGTCTATAGTTTTCCTTTGAGGCTGTTTTTCTCAGTCAGTTAAATAACCAGCATCAGAACACAATTTTCTTAAAAGAAAAAAACAGCTGCATGAAAGAAGCGCTTATATTTACTAAGTTTTGAACGCTCTTTACACAAAATATATCTAGCTGGAGTTTAGAAAACGCTACTGCTCAAGTAGTCCTTGTTAAATCAGGCAGTTTTTCGTTTCGTTCAAAGACGAAAAGTACAACAATTGCTTTGTCTTTGTAGGCTAATACACGGCTAATAATTTCTCTCATGTTTGCGAGCAACTGTTTAAAGCTAAGTTTAAAAGTTTTTTTTCTTAACCGATGTTGGCAATTGATTGTGAAAAACGAAAAATAAAAGTTTTAACTAACGTTTATATAAAAATGTCAAGAAATTTAAATAGTGGGCTTTTCAAATTTAGGAAGCAAACTTTTTGGATGTTTGGCAACCTTTTAGCAACTTTTTGACATTCCAGTTGGCAGCTTTCCAGCATTTTACGAGTACAATCGGGAAAGTTCTAGCAGGCTCTGACCGAAAGGGGTACCTTTTTCAGGCTTCAGGTATATGAAAGGGTAGATAATTCACTAGTTGAAAGATATATAAGAGAATAGGGATTCATCATTAGGTCCTAATTAATTGAAATGTTTGGAAAAGACGCGCTTTGTTTTTTTATCATTTTAATTTTCTTTAAAGCGTTTGATGAAAATGACAAGAAGACCGACAATTTCACAGAAAACTTCAATTTATGCGAATTTCTTGAATGTTAATAATCACCCTTTTGAAGACGTAACCTTTACGGCCAAGGTTTCGCAGGCCTGAAAAGGTATTTAAACGTGCCGTCAGGCCTGAAACGCAGTAGGCACATAAATATAAGCAAGAAAATTTAAAGGTAAGTTTAAAAGAAAAAAACGAATTCATGCACATTTCGCTCAATTATAGAGAAAAATAATTATAATTTTAGACGTATGAATAATTAATTAAGCTTTTTTTCTTAACCGATGTTGGCAATTGATTTTGAAGAATGAAAAATAAAAGTTTTAATTAACGTTTATATAAAAATATCAAGAAATTTAAATACCCAGCAGCTTTTGAAATTCAGGAAGCAAACTTTTTGGATGTTTGACAGAAGACCTAGTACTGTTTTAGCGATTTATTGCTATTAAGTAGGTATGTGAAAAGGCGGCCTCATTTCTCAATGGAAGGTAATGCAAACACCCTTGCCGACACCCTAGGGACCGCGGTTTAGTGTCCGTAATAGCGAGAGTCCGTAACAGCAGGGTGCGAGTAAAAAATTCTTGATATCAGAGGAACTACATTTATTTGTATTGTACATTGTCTCCAGAACCAATTGCAGTGCAGTTTTCGCATATAAAGAGCGTCAGAACTTTATTTACAAACAAGACAAATCGTAACTGAACAAAACTTGCATCTCCCTTTCTTTCACCACAACAGTCACTGATTAGAAAAATTTGTGGTACACAAAAAGCGTAAAGTACGGTAATAGAAAATCCAATTCATGTACGTTAATAGTACATCACGACTGTTTTTTGGAAATAAGTACGGTAGTTTTTATTGCGACATTCTCCATCTATGTAAGATGTATAATGTTGTTATTCCTACATAAGTTCAGAAACATCTGTAAACCTGAAGAAGGCTGGTATGGCCAGCCGAAATATTTTTGTGTTTAAAGAACAGTACACGTTTGTTCTGAATCAGCTTTGCAGTAGTCTTTGGACTTCTCCTTCTTGGGTCATAGAAGGATCATGTTACACTTTTCAACCTGTTTCAACCAAAGTGACAGAGGCGCAGAGAAAAAGAGGAAATACTAAACTATATGATCTGAGACTGATTTTACCTTCGACCACAATTGCAGCGGTTAGTAAAATTTGTTATAGTGATGACTATGATCTGTCAGCCAGTTTATCCACGGCGGCTCAGTTTCTGACAACCTAGGGCAGCATAAAGTAAAGAATACTGTCATAAATTCTTTCTAGGTTCATTTTGATTCACAATATTTCGGTTTGTTTATGTATATATATTTCATATTTTGTTGTGAGAAACAATAAAATGACGAGTTAAACAATTCTAGTTAAACGCCTAACGCCGGCGATTCCCCCCTGCGACTTGCTAAACTCTTTTTCACTGTCAACTGTACATGTTTTTTACTTATTTAATAAATGACTCACTCAAGAATGGCATCGAGCGTATTTAAGACTAGTTCTTATTCTAGGCTCGATTACCAGTCACTGTTCGGTAAACGAGCAACACAGGTCGGGGCGTTTCTCGTAAGTCCGAACTTTTCGTGCCCCGAAGCCAAATATTAAAATCAAAATCTAACGAACAAATGCGCAGGTCCTACGACCATCGTCAAAAGGGTTGGGAAGGCTGCTACTTTTGAACTCTTTTTTTCTTCTTTTCCCCACCACCTCGAGCTCCTGGCCCGATGTTAAGAAAAACATAAGCGGTCTGTGCGCGTCTCAATCAGTTTTGAATCGTTCTATTATATATTCCAAGATAGGTGGGACCGGGGGGGGGGAGTTATTTAGCAAAAGGGAAAACCATCTTCGATTTGTTGAACATAAAAACGAACTGCTGTTAACTCGTACAACCTTCCCAACAGCTTTTGTCTGGGACTGTAGGCTAAAAGGTCCATTTTCTCTGTTGAATCGATAGGCTTATACATAACTATTATAGTCTGCAAAGCAATTTGAAATCATCATTGAAACTTCGATCTTTTGTGAACAAAACAGCTTACGGTGACCGGTAATTACCGGAACTTCCGAGGAATGGGCTTCGGAGCAGATCCTAAATCTTCTTATTCCTTTTACAGGTAATAAACACCGTTTTCAATTGGACTTCAATAATTGGAACCTCTTCTGGAGTTTGTGCTTTGGGCTGTTGTCCTTTCTAATCATCGTTGGAAATGCTCTATCCATATCAATACTTTTCAATAGAAGGCTACGAAAGCGTCCTCATTTCTTGTTAATTAGCTTGGCTTTCGCTGATCTCTTGGTTGGATTAATCCCAGTGCCACTTTACATTATCATTCAATACTTACGATATCGAATTCTTACTTTAGTTTATAATTGCGTGGATATCTTTGCAGGGTTATGCTCGATCTTCACCCTGGCGGCTATTTCCCTTGAAAGACTCCACGCAATTGCTCGCCCTCTTCGCCATCGACAACTCACCTTACGTAGCTACGCGATTGCCATGGTAACGCCATGGATCTTATCCATTATTGTGACGTCAGTTCCCGTTTTTCCCTTTATAACCTATATTCAGACCAGTTCTGTGATAATTATTAGCTTGTCAGCACCTTTGTTGATAACTTGCATTTCCTATTGTATCATTTGGAGGAAGCAATCTTCAAGAATTCCCAATGAAACTCAAGCAAGAAAGGATGTTCACTTAAATAAGACGCTGCTACTGATAACCGCAATATTTGTTCTGTCATGGTTGCCTTTTCAAGTTTTAGCAGCTGTTTTAAATTTCTGCATCTCGTGTCGACGTTTAAACAAAACTCTGATAATTTTACTATATGTTATTAAGCTTCTTCACTATAGCAATTCCTTTATGAATTTTCTAGTATATTGTTTTAGAATGTCAGATTACAGAAAAGCGCTTTCACGAATGTTTCCCCAAATGCAGATGCAGCTGTTAAAGAGTCGTCGAGTCTCAGTTTTGTCCGCTGGTCCACACTGAAGCAGGTCCTGTGCTTAATATCTATCTCATTTACTCTATTTTCAAGCAATTTTTATTATAGACGCATGCAGGCAGTTAGCATTGACAAAGAAATGAAGTGAGTTTTAGGAAAAGATATTTCCAGTAGTGTCCAACAAGTAATCAGTGTCTTGCATTAAAATAATATTTAGCTTGCACTAAGGAGAACCTGTATTTCCCTTTCTATTTGAGTGTATATAGTTTACGGGTATAGACGTTGTAAATTTACAATTTTATCGTGGTTTCGATTCATTGATGGTCAGCATGAGAGAATGAACTTAGGCTTGGTGTCAAATGTTAACTGAATAACAATAAAAGTTTCAAACATTCCCATATGAGTCTGAACTTTTAATTATTATGGTTTGTGTATGGTTCTTTAAATTACGTTTCTCAAATTAAGTAATTTATTCTAGAAATTTCTAGATAAATTGACAGGCAAAAATCGTATTAGTTTTTTCTCCTTATATCTCTTTCTGTTGGAGTCTGACGTTTCTGTTAAAGACATCAGTTTCGTTGACGTTTGGATCTGTAGGCGCGGTGACGCGTTTTCCTTTCGATAGGTGTGGCTCTTCGACCAATGAAATCCACTGAAGTCTAGCGGTAAGAATTAACATGTTCCCAGGTTTAGGTGCTGCAACACTGCCTGAAAGGTCTGTCAATATACCTTGCTTTTCACCGCGACATCGGTAGCCAGGATAAAATCCTTTTGTTATTTCCTAACTTACATAGTGACATTTCTTTTCGATGGTTTTCGCAACGTTCTTGTTATCAAAAGGATTTTTTCAAAGAAGGAAACAATTCTTACTACACTTAGCATATAAAGTTGATTTATGGACTGAAAAGGCGGGACACGTTTTTCTGTTGTTATATACTCACTTGCATGTGTTGTACACAAACTGTACAGTTTCGCCTAGAGTAACAATTTTGTAAATTAATATAACTTAAAATTTTGTAAATATTCAATTTTAATCGTTAGAAACAATCTTGTAACTTTATCTTTGCCTTTTTTTACTTCCGTACCGGCTACTGGACGGTTGCTTGGCGTTATTCTAATGACTAATAGGTTAATCATCATGAAAAAAATTAGATTAGACTGATGTATGACTGACTGTGAAGGAAAACTACTTTTACGGTTGGTTTCAAAAATTCTTGAACGAGCTCCTAAGACGACAGATCAGTCCTGATCTAATCATGTCAGATGTTGGATAACCTCAACCAGAATGAAATGAATAGATGATTTGTGATTTATTCAGAAGGAAAGATATTCCCTAAGCTAGTTTCAGTCAGCACCAGCCTTTTGTTTGAGTCGAGAGAAAGTCTAGGAATATAACACCATTTTTTATTTTCCGTACCTGTCACCGATTATCATGATCCCGCCTTTTTTAAAATCTTCTACTGCTCTGGAGAGATAAAATTGTAATTACAGTCGAACCTGTATATAACGGCCCTCTATCAAGCGGCCAGGTTTCAAAGTCCCGATTTTTTCGCTCATACAGACTTATACAGACTCATACAGACTTGTTTTAACAAAGACATATTCAGAAATGTGCGTATGAACGGGAGGCACCGGGGGGGGGGGTAAAAGTGGGAATTCTTGGTGGGGTATGCCGCCCGGTTCTCCAAATCCAGACCGTGTTTGACACCAAAAAAAAAAATTTTTCACACCCGTTTCAGACCTGGCCTCTAAGGAAATTATGTTATCAATAGTTAGATTAGAACAGCAGCAAAAAAGATTTCGTAAAATGCATTACGAATTCGCATTCTTCTCTTTCTTTCTTATTCATCTAATATGGAAACGATACATACGTTCATACACTGTCTCCCTCTTTCCCTCGAAAACTATCTGATTCCAGACCTAAATGGGCAAAGTCTATACCCGTTTTTAGACCAAAACAGTGCAAAATCTCTACCCTTTAGGGTAGCACATACCTATGTGGCTTATATAAGGGAGCACCCCCTGGGGGGAAGTAATGGAATGCTGACGTAGAAGGTCGGAGAACCTTTCAGCTTAACAGGTCAGTGGTGATGACGTGTCTCATATATGACGTCATACAACATAGGCTCATAAATTTTCCACTTTTATTGATATCATGCATGCTGTTTCTCGTCGACCGTCGTTTTACACTCATAACCCTACAATCAGAATCTCTCGTAAACGTTTTTAACCTCTTGTAAGCGCCACTTGAGACATGGCCATGGTTTGATCACTATAGTCGCTGAATGTCCTACAGTACTCACAGTATGCAAAGACCTTTAGTGAGTCAGTGGTGTGTCTCAGTCACCTTAAAATTGGCCTCTAAGCTAATTTTCTCATGCTCTTTTGGATAGTTATTACAAATTGCGACGGCTTCTTTATTAAAAAGTACGAAACGGTTATTACAAATTGCGACAGTACAAACTAAACTGGGTAAGTTATAAAGAAAATACTCTTTGTTTTTTGGCATCTTAGTTTTAAAAGGAATAACACACAAACTGCGGTTATAAAGACATTAAATACCTGGATATGAGGATCTACTAATTATCATCTCTTTACTAAACTACTAGCCAAACATGGTAAACCCTACCTACCTCCATTTGATACAACAGACGGATACAGAACATGTTTTAAACTGTCTTGGGATCATTCCATTTTTCATGCTCCCCATTTTCCCACTCCCCTAAAAAGGAGAACAATTTCAGTAAGGTCTCAATAAACCCTTTTGGAACTTTGAATTTAGATCAGTTGAAACCACTATTTTAGCGCACAGTTGAACCTCCATGCACCCACACTCGGGGCACTGGCAGGTGGCCGCTTAATGGCGGTTGGCCGCTCAACGATTGGCTTAATCGGTATCGGTAATCGGTATCATTACTGTATTTTCCTTCGCCATCAGTTTTGAGAATGTATCAAGCGGATTGATAGCTGTTACTGACAGAGGCTTAAGGTGGCTCGATACAGTTTTTCAGGGTCAAAACCTTCCAAGTTTGAGCATAAACTACGTCGCCATAAACAAAGATTGTGAAAAATTGCCACCACAGTTGTATCAGATAAAGATGAAAATTTGTTATGATTAATGTTGCACAGACGTCGGAGTTGTCGTAGCAACAAAATGACGCTATTACCTATTTTTCTCGGCTCTGGGAACTGTTCTTCCAAAATCGTTTAGGGGAGCTTTTTCTTTCCAATAGGTGGTTTTCATGCAATCTCGGGAGACACAACTAACAATGGTGAAATGAACAAATGCTGGTGGACAAACAAAACGAGCTAATGAGCGATCTTTTGTTTACTGTCCACCAGCATGGCGGCGATGACGTCACGTGAAAACCACCGATAGAGGCCTCGATGTTCGCGAAGTTTAAGCGAAATTTGTAAGAACGTTATCAAGATATTTTGGGATGAATTTTTTATGGTTAGAAATACTCTAAAAGAATGGACAATCTTGACGTTCCGCTGTTATCTGTAGAAAATTAAACGAAGCGCTTTCGAGATGCAATTTCACCTCATAGTACTTTCAATCTTTTTAAAAACGTGTGTGAAAGATCATTGTGTTTAGTATAATAGAGCGACATTGGCGTAGAGTACAGTAGCCTAGTTATGTCCGGCAAATCATGCCGATCAGTGAAACGAAACTGGGGCGAAAACGGTGGCAGGAAATAAAACTTGTTTACCATGATTATGTTGAGTTTCCACTATTTTTTATTGTCACGTAGGGCTTTATGTTAAGCAACTAGATTGTTTTTTTAAAGTGCTAGTTAGTGATATGACCGCTGTATGACTATTTTACTTAGGATTATTATTGGTTGTTTGAGAGGAGTTTGCAGGTGTTGCCAACGACTTCCCGTTCAGGTTATTGCTAACAACCTTCACAAAACACGTACGCACTTTGAGCGCGGTCTGACAAATGTTATTACTTTCCAACTACTGCTGTACTATTTTCTCTTAGGATTTCGTTTAGGATTACGAGGGAGCACGGAAACTTGGTGAGACCACGTCACTCTATAATTTTCCTTTCTCTTAGAAAACTGTCCTCCTCACGTGCTTTTTCAAGTGTGCTATTTAAAAATGGCACAATTTGCTTTTATAAACGGCTTCATAAAAGTAGCGCCTATATTTACTTGATTTTTAAACCGTTTCAAATCTGGCTAGACTTTCATAGAAAATGCGACTACCCAAAAGTCCTTGTTGTTCACCAAGTTTATTTTTTTTTCTTTGAAAAACGAAAAATGCATCAGCTGCATTTTTCGTTCCTTTCTCCTCGCTCTCTCTCGCTGTACAAGCTAAGACATGAGCCTACACCAGGGGCCCGTTTCCCAAACTTAAAGTCTCGCAGCTTTTAAGGCCCGAGGCCAAATATTAAAAATAAAATCTGAATAATGAAAGCGTGGGTCCTAGTTAAAAAGAAAAACAAACAAACAAACAAAAGACAAAAAAGCAGTCCATTTTGTTTGGTAACCAATGGGTATGTTATCGGTGATCGGTGACCGGTAATTGCCGGAACTTCCGAGGAAAGGACCCCCGACCCGATGGGAGCGACGGAAATTGAGCCTTCATATTTTTATTCCTTTTACAGTTTTCGCCAAATGGACTTCAATAATTGGAACCTCTTCTGGAGTTTGTGCTTTGGGCTGTTGTCCTTTCTAATCATCGTTGGAAATGCTCTATCCATATCAATACTTTTCAAGAGAAGGCTACGAAAGCGTCCTCATTTCTTGTTAATTAGCTTGGCTTTCGCTGATCTCTTGGTTGGATTAATTCCAGTGCCACTTTACATCATGAACCAAGCAAACTTACTGCTACATACTGCTTATTGGGTTTATGTGTACGTGGATATGATTACAGGCTTAAGCTCGGTCTTCACCCTGACGGCTATTTCCCTGGAAAGACTCCACGCTATTTCTCGCCCTCTTCGCCATCGACAACTCACCTCACGTAGCTACGCGATTGCTATAGCAACCCCATGGATCTTCTCCCTTATTGTGTCGTTATCTTATTTGCTGTCAGTTTTTTCTGTTATAACCAACCTTCAGTTCTTTTCAGGGATAATCATTAGTTTGTCAACATCGTTGTTGGTAACGTGCATTTCCTATTGCATCATTTGGAGGAAGCAAACTTCTAGAATAATTCCCAATGAAGCTCAAGCAAGAAAGGATTTTAACTTAAATAGGACGTTGCTATTGATATCTGCAATATTTGTTTTCTCGTGGCTGCCTTTCCACGTTTTAAATATCGTCAGCACTTTCTGTGCTTCATGTGAAATCTTTCTCGTAACAGTATATGTTGTAAAGTTCCTTCACTATAGCAATTCCTTTATGAATTTTCTAGTTTATTGTTTGAGAATGCCACATTTCAGAAAAGCGCTTTCAAGAATGCTTCATAAGTGTAGATGCAGTCGTTAAAGAGTCGTTAACAATTTGTATTTGGAAAATACGATACTTATGTTTTAAGCACTTAGTCGTCTGGCATTAACGTAAAAGTTCAGCTTGCACTGAGGAGGACTTGTATTTCCCTTGGTATTGAGTCTAGTTTACAAGTCAGATACACATTGGAAATTTATTTCAATTTTATCGTGGTTTCATGGATTGTTAGCGTGCATGAGAGAACGAACTTGCCCTTGGATGTCAAATGTTAACGGAATAACGTTAATGAATCAAACATTGCTATCTGAGTATGAACTTTCAGTTATTATTCTTTGTGTATGGTGTTTTAAATTACGTTAATTCTCAAATTAATTAGTTTATTCTAGAAATTTCTAGGTATATTCGCAGGTAAAAATCGTATCAGTATTGTCTTTTCTACTCTTGTCTCCTTCTGCTGGAGTCTGACCTTTCTGACACTGAAAGACATCAGTTTCGCTGAAGATCTGTACACGCGGTGATCATGCATGCTGTTTCACATCGACGTTTTACACTTATTGCATTTTTAATTGTTGGCTTTTTAATTAATCGCTGTTGATCAAAAGTTGTTGTCAGTACAGTCGAACCTACATGTGCGACCACCTCCCATATGCGACCACCTGTATCCGGCAAAACACAGGCACTTTCCCGGTCAAATCCCTATAATCAAAACCGTCTCGTAAACATCCACCTCTCAAAAGCTACTGCGACCACTTTTTGGCCTTAAAGCTTTATTGTTTTCAATTGTTTTCAACATCTTGTAGGCAACCACTGCACTTGGCGCATGGTAAGTTAGCTGATGAAAGTCCTACACTACTTACAGTATGCAAAGGCCTCTTAGTGAGAACAGGATACTATCCCACATACACTGCGGTGCAATTCTACTAAGCGACGACTCTATCTACGAGTCTTCTACGCACTTTGGGTGGTCGCGTTCGGGAGATTTGACTGTGCTGCTAAGAATATGTCAGATGCTGCGCATATTGGACACAGTGAGCTTCCATCTTCCTTTAAATGCTGAGGCTAGCTTAAGTGTAATAGGATGACTGTTATTGTCAAGGACCACTAGTAGTGTCGTTCTGGTTTAACCCAGTGTAATCCTCCTTTAGTTACTGCCTAATAATTTGTTATCAAATCATACTGATGACACTTGATTGACCACTGTAATCATTGTATTGTATTGTTGCCCCCGCAGGGATTTCGCCCAGAAGGCGAAATCCCGAGGAGGCACTCTAGTAACTCGCCTGTATATTAAGGAAAGTACTTACAGTTGAAATATACAGTTATACAGTCAATATAGAAAAAATCTCGATTTGCTTGAACAGGGGCCGCCAGGAATCGGTAGGTAATGATGACGTTTCTATTGTTTGCGCCCATCAAGCACGAAATGGTTAGGATGACGTAAAGACAGAACATCCCCAAGGGACCGCTTAGGTAGATTTTGTGACATTTATTGTGCAGTCATACTCTTTTGCGTTACGTGTTAACAGTGACATTCTGTGGAGCAGTTGTTTCAGAGAAAGTTATGGACCAAAATTTTAACGACACTCGTTAAGCACAGAAGAAGTTATAAGGTGCGTATAGCTGGGTATATATAAACACTATCCTATCACTTCCCTGCGACCTAAATATTAGGGACCTTATTGAAGCAACGACGACGGCAACAGTGACGGCTACGAAAACGACACTTAAAAAGTGAAGTCGCGCTACTTCAAACTTTTTCGCGCTTATTCCATCTCGTTCAATTCGTCAAATGTTGGCAATTCCGATCCTCCACAAAACTTGAAATTAAGCATTTCCAGTTCGGCAAAGAAATGTACAAAAAGTCGTGATGCACGTGCAAATTTGTTGTTTTGCCAATCTAAACTCATTGCTTTTTTGCCGTTATCGTTGAAGTCGCCTTGCCTAGTCCCCAGGCGGTGTGCGTCACGAGATTCGACCAATCAGAATGCGTCATTTGTAGAGTGATTTTCGCGCTCGGAAAGAGCTGTTTTCAGAGGTATATGTGGTGAAATTTTCGCTTTATTCCAAGCTTGTGTTGGTAATTTCGACACTATACCGCCGTGGAAAGTTGTTGGAACACTTTATCTTGATAGCAGTTGCGTTACTTTTAAATATTTTGATTTCTTGAGCGTTTGTGACAAGTTTGAATTACTCGGTCATGTGCAGGCCGCCATGATGATTTGAGTGTTGTTTTTGCCGTTCTTCTTGGATTTATTGCTGGTTACTGTTAGCAGTTTTATCGAATTATTTTGGCCATCTTGTTACTTCAACCTTTCTTCTTTGCAAATTTCGGGGTCTACCCGGGTCTACCCCTGTTAGTTTTCCCGTTATGAGCCGTTGAAAGTGTCTTGGAATGAAGACATCGTCTCAGCCAAGTGTCACAACTCCCGGGAAACGGGCTGAGAAAACATGCCGAAGCGGAAGCCGACGTGAAGCGAGTAACGCCAAATCCAGGAAGAGTTGGTTCTATTTTAAACCACAAAAGGTAAATAAGTTTGAATATTGTAATAACCTTTGGAAACAAAACATTTTTCATAGCCCAGTGCGGAAACTGAAAGCGTGACTTTAAAATAATTTGCATTCGGTGTGTGCCACGTGTATGCAAATCTTCGTGTAAAGTTACGTGAGCGAATAAATTGTTATAAATCTCTACCAAAACCCAAAACCATTATCGAAGATCCAGACAACATCATACAGGATTTTAAAACTGTGAGGTTAGGTTTTACTATATAACAAAATCGATATACTGCGCTCACTTCAATGACCGCACAGACAAGATCGTGTTTGATTTTACCTGATTTTACTGTTTATTTCTGCGGCTGTATGTTCGGCTCTTTCGGTCTGTTTTCTCCTTGCCTGATAGAAGATTTATTTGCGCATAAGGATTTCAAACGGGCACTGTTTTCAAAATAATATAAACTTGTCGATGAAAATAAAATTGTTATGAGAGACGATTTCTCACCTAGCTGTTTGCACGCGCTCCCCCTGCTTTGCCGGTAACAAAGTCCATCAAATATATAAACACTTCTAATGGACGAATTTTTTTTAGTTAAGCAAATCCAGGTATGAACTACAGATCTCTTTCACTATGAGATAAAAACATACATATAAACCAAACAGTACATAAAATCTTATGAGAAGCAGGAAATTAGTCGCCGCTCAAAGGCGGCTAGATCGCACGATCGTCTCCGAACCGCGATAAACTTCTTGAAATTGCCTTATGAAGCCAATAGCAAGCATCTGAGGCCACTATGAGATCTTGAAAATTCTCGAAATCGCTCTCTTCCGTAATGATTTTCGGAAAAGGCAGCAGTGTTTTGATCCCTGGGTTTGATTCACTTCTCTCACGAGATGCGAACTCGACCGTGTCACGATTGAAATGAGGCACGGTAACAGTTTTACCCGTGAACCTTTGTGGGTCGTGACGCACACCGCCTGCCTAGTCCCTGCACGGCGTTTCCCCAGTCCCTCTCGGTCAATTCACTTCGGTGACGTACCCTTCGAATGGACCACATGATCCGATACGCTTTGGCCGCGTGGAAAAATGAGGCCTAGGGACTAGGCAAGAAGTCGCTGCCGTCGTTGCTTGAGCTTCCTAATTATTTTCGCCGGAACTACATTTCTATTTTATTGGAATACTCAGCGAGGGGCCTCTGGAAAGAGCGTCAGTTTGGATATAATTTAGAAGTTTAATACTTCCAAAATGGAAAAACGTCCGCAGAGCGGTTAATAACTAATTTTCTTAGGGTTATTATTTTTTGTCTTAGATTAGGTAACAGGTGTTGTGCACGACTTCCCGTATATTATCGCGACAACATCGATATAATAATACGTACGCAGTTTTAGCGTCAGTGACATTTATTACCCTGCAATCATCAGTGGTGTACTTTCATTTCGTGGGATTTCTTTAATTGAGCCTGTTGAGAATTACAAAGGGGCACAGAAACTTGGTGAGAGAACGTCCATAGTTTAAGGTTTTTTTCCTCGCGTCAAGTAACCAGCATTAGAACACAACTTTCTTAAAAAAAAGTATCAGCTGCATGAAAGAAGCGCTTCTATTTACTATCTTTTGAACGCTCTTTTAATTACAAGATATATTTGGCTGGAATTTAGAAAACGCTACTGCTCAATACTTAAGTCCTTGTTAATCAAGCAGCTTTTTTTGCCTTCAAAAACTAAAAGTACAACAGTTGCTTTTTTTCTTTTCTCCTCCTTCCCTTCTTCTCGCTCACCCATTTAGTTTGTTTTTATTCCTTCCGTGGTACAATTTTCAAGCTTATCGGACACAAAAATTTGTTTTTTGGACTTTTTTAATCATGTGGCTTCATTTTCAGATAAATATACTGACGAAAAAAGAGAAAAAAAACAGCAACTCAACAGAAATGAAGTTACGTATATATTGTCGTCGTACTGGGGTCATCTCTTCGATTCACAATGTTAAGAGTCAATTTCCACTGTCGATTTTCATCATTTTAGGTATCCTACAGGTGATCGATTGAATCCAACAGTAAGCAAGAAAAATTTAACAATTCCACAGAAAGCTTCAATTTATGCTAATTTCCTGAAAGTTAATAAGCCTTTTGAAGACGTAAACTTTACGGCCAACGTATCGCAGGCCTAAAAAGGTATTTAAAAGTGCCGTTAGGTCTGAAAAGCAGTAAGCAAATGAATATGCGCAAGTAAGCTTAAAAGAAAAAAAAGGGAATTAATGCAATTAATGCTCAATTAAAGAGAAAAAGAATAATTTTTTGACGTATGACTAATTAATTAGCTAAGTAACCTCGCTAACACTAAACACGTTATTTTATAGCTTTGTAACATAAAACAGTTAAATTTTAGGCATTTTAACACTGACAGTAAAAAATTCTTTGAAACAGTAAATTTTTTCCAGAAAGAAAAATATATTGTTATTTGCAAAATATATTGTGAAATATACGCAAATTTCTTGATATTGGGCTATTGACTCACAGGCCATGAGGGCGAGAGGAATAATTGTTTTTAGTAAAATCTAACTAATTGGTCAAAAATATCGAGACAAAACAAGTTTAGCTAGTTAAAGCTAGACTTTAAGCCTTTTTTGCCGCCAAAAAGCCGGCGCTTTCGCTACTAGTGGGCTACGACATATAGCGGCCTAGTAGTAGCTCAACCAATCAGAACTTAGCATTTATGATACACCACTAGTTGGATTTTACTAAACGATTTTATTTTTCGTTCTCACAATCAATTGTTAACATGTACATCGGTTCAGAAAAATAGCTTGAAACTTTGCTTTAAAGAGTTGCTTGCAAACATGAGCTAATAATTGAAATAATTAACTACCCCAAGGCAAGGTCATTAGCCTTATGCTAGGGTCTGAATAGGGTTTGGCCCGATTTCTTAATGGAACGTAATGCAAAAGAGGTATATTTATAATTCAGAGTTTTGTTAATAAAAGAGTATTTTACCGTCGAACACTATTGCGGCGGTTAGTAGAATTTGTTATAGTGATGACTATGATCTGTCAGCCACTTTATAAACGGCAGCTTTTTATGACAACCTAGGGCTGCATAAATTAAAGAATGCTGTCATAAATATTCTTTCCAGCTTCATTTTGATTCATAATATTTCGGTTTGTTTATGTATATATATTTCATATTTTGTTGTGAGAGACAATAAAATGACGAGTTAAACAATCCCAGTTAAACGCCTTACGCCGGCGATTCCCCTCTGCGACTTGCTAAACTCTTTTTCACTGTCAACTGTACATGCTTTTTGCTTATTTAATAAATGACTCACTCAAGAATGACATCGAGCGTATTTTAGACCAGTTCTTATTCTTGGCTCGATTACCAGTCACTGTTCGGTAAATGAGCAACCCAGGTCGGGGCGTTTCTCGTAAGTCCGAACTTTTCGGGCCCCGAAGCCAAATATTAAAATCAAAATCTAACGAACAAAAGCGCAGCTCCTACAATCATCGTCAAAAGAATTGGGAAGGCTAAATCCAGGCTAAATCCAGCCTAAATCTTCTTATTCCTTTTACAGGTAATAGACACCGTTTCAAATGGACTTCAACAATTGGAACCTCTTCTGGAGTTTGTGCTTTGGGCTGTTGTCCTTTCTAATCATCGTTGGAAATGCTCTATCCATATCAATACTTTTCAAGAGAAGGCTACGAAAGCGTCCTCACTTCTTGTTAATAAGCTTGGCTTTCTCTGATCTCTTGGTTGGATTAATCCCAATGCCACTTTACATTATCATTCAATACTCACGATATCGAATTCTTTCTTTAGTTTACATTCGCGTGGATATCTTTGCGGGCTTAAAGGGAACCTCCACTTCAACAAAAAGATAACTTTAAATCACAGGAAATAACTGTTACAGTCAAGTCAATCTAAAATATTTTTAAAGAAAGCGTTTGTATCCGAAAGAAATAACTTTTAGATTGGCCTAATTTTGTTTTCAAATTTTGCGGGCGTCGCCATCTTGAATAATTGTGACGTGTAATGGTTGCCCTATTGTTATTAAACAAAAGCTCTTTGTGTCAGAACAATAGAGCAACCGTAACACGTCACAATTATTCAAGATGGCGGCGCCCGCGAAATTTGAAAGTGAAAATAAGCGATTTTAAAATTCACTTTTCCTGATATAAACACTTTTTTTAAGACAAATTTCGAACAAATTTGTTTATCAACATAATTTTATTCGATTTAAACTTATTCTGTAGTAAGAGTGGAGGTTCCCTTTAAGCTCGGTCTTCACGCAGCTATGCGATTGCCATAGCAACCCCATGGATTTTCTCCCTTATTGTGTCGTTATCTTATTTGCTCTCAGTTTTTTCCGTTATAACCTTCCTTCAGTTCTTTTCAGGGATAATTATTAGTTTGTCAACATCTTTGTTGGTAACGTGCATCTCCTATTGCATCATTTGGAGGAAGCAAGTTTCTAGAATTCCCAATGAAGCTCAAACAACAAAGAATATTCACTTAAATGGGACGCTGCTACTGATAACCGCAATATTTGTTCTGTCATGGTTGCCTTTTCAAGTTTTAGCAGCTGTTCTTAATTTCTGCATCTCGTGTAATTCAAACAAAACTCTGATAATTTTACATGTTATTAAGCTTCTTCAGTATAGCAATTCCTTTATGAATTTTCTAGTTTATTGTTTCAGAATGCCAGATTACAGAAAAGCGCTTTCACGAATGTTTGCCAAACGTAGATGCAGTCGCTAGGTCGCCGGCGATTCTTTTATCCGCTAGTCCACACTGAAGCAGGTCACCGGCCGTTCTTAATATTTATCTCACTTACTCTTTTTTCAAGCAATTTTTATTTGTAAAATACACGCTTGCAAGCACTGATAGTTTTGACATAAGAAAAGAGGGAGTTTTATCAGGAGGAGATATATCCAGACACTAGTGTCCAAGTCACTATAGTGTCATGCAGTAAAATAAAATTCAGCTTGCACGTAGGAGAACCTGCATTTCCCTTGTATAGACACTGTAAATTTACTTTTGTGGTGGTTTTATTTATTGTCAGCATGAGAGAATGAACTTAGGCTTGGTGTCAAATGTTAACTGAATAACAATAAAAGTATCAAACATTGCAATATGAGTCTGAACTTTTAATTATTATGCGTTGTGTATGGTTTTTTAAATTACGTTTCTCAAATCAAGTAATTTATTCTAGAAATTTCTAGGTAAATTGACAGGTAAAAATCGTATTAGTCTTTTCTCCTTTCTGCTGGAGTCTCACCTTTTTGTTATAGACATCAGTTTCGTTGACGTTTGAATCTGTAGGCGCGGTTTTTTAGACATTTTCCTTTTGATAGGTGTGACTCCTCGACTAATGAAATCCCATGAAGTCTTTTTCAGAAGCCATACCGATATTTTTCAATCGCCTCAAAAGCGTTTTTTCCTTGTCTGATCGCTAAAAAATTTTCACAAGTAATTGGCTATGGATTGAAATTTCTGAAAATGTAGTTTAAAGTAAAATCGATATTACTTTGACAACAATAAACAAAAAACTTTGAAACTGATAAAAGCCGAACTTTGTGTGATTTAGACCTGCTCAAAATCCTGACCGTGTTTGAGACCAAAAAAATAGATCGTTTTTCACACCCGTTACAGACCTGGCCTTTAAGGGAAATTATGACATCAATAGTTAGATTAGAACTTCACGTACGCTAAATATGAAATAAAGAAGGTTA